ACCCAACATCGGAGGCAGTCAACCTCCGACGCCTGATGCGTGGCATCAAACGGGCATGGCAACACCACCGACTCCCGGGCTCCCCATCACACTTCCCTCTTGCGCGCGCGTTTCGTCCTTCCTTAATCTCTCCTACCCTGACCACCTAACTCTTTGGGCCCCTACTACTGCTTCTTCGCCTTCTCCGCAGCGGCGAGCTCTCTCACTCCACCGCAGTGACCTGCCACAGGACAGCGGATGGGTTCCAGGTGCACATCACACAGTCCACGACGGACCGTTCCGCTCTGAGCTGTCGTCACAGTGCTCCCATCTGGCGACCCGTCCCTCTGTGCAGTCACTGCCCTGGATCCTACCTAGCGACCCAGGGCCCCACAGAACGCACTCTGTCCGCCTCCAGACAGCTGCTCTCACACACGCCCAGAGACTCATCAGAGACCTGGCTCTAGCGGTGCGGAGCGATGTCACAGCGGTACTCCTCCCACTCCTTCGCTACGGAGCTGCTCTCAGCAGCAGCCGCGGCTGGCATCCCAGATTCGAGGATCCAAGCCCTGGGCGCGCAGGAGACAGCGACTGCTACCGGGCTACATCCGCCTGCTGAGCAGCGAGACCAACGGCGTTGCAGCAGCACTAGCAGGAGCTCACTATAATTAACAACCAAGTAAGCTCACTAAAGCCCGGACCTAAATGTTTGGGGCAGCACCTATCTAACAACCTATACCCACCTATACATGCCTATGGCTTGAGGGACAGCCTATCCTCGTCTCCAGAGTGGCACTCAGACTGTCACCTGGAACGAGACGCACTCCCTCCTCCTCTCTCAGAGTGGCACCCAGACTGTCACCTGACGAGAACGCACTCCCTCCTCGTCTCCAGAGTGGCACCCACCACTGTCACCTGGAACGAGACGCACTCCCTCCTCGTCTCCAGAGTGGCACCCAGACTGTCACTGAACGAGACGCACTCCCTCCTCGTCTCCAGAGTGGCACCCAGACTGTCACCTGAACGAGACGCACTCCTCCTCGTCTCCAGAGTGGCACCCAGACTGTCACCTGGAACGGGACGCACTCCTCACGTCCCAGAGTGGACACCAGACTGTCACCTGGAACGGACGCACTCCCTCCTCGTCTCCAGAGTGGCACCCAGACTGTCACCTGGAACGGGACGCACTCCTCGTCTCTCACGTGGCACCTGTGAACGGGACGCACTCCTCCTCATTCCAGAGTGGCACCAGCTGTCACTGGAAAGGACGCACTCTCCGTTCCAGAGTGGCACCCGACTGTCACCGGAACGAGACGCACTCCTCTCGTCTCCAGAGGGCCCCAGACTGTCACCTGGACGAGACGCACTCCCTCCCGGCTCCAGAGTGGCACAGACTGTCACCGGAACGAGAGCACTCCCGTACGTGCAGATGTGGAACGGGAATCATCAACACCAGACTGTCACCTGGACGGGACGATCCCTCATCGTCTCCAGAGTGGCACCCCGACTGTCACCTGGAACGGACGCCACTCATCTCGCTCCAGAGTGGCACCCAGACTGTCACCTGGAACGGGACGCACTCCCTCCTCGTCTCCAGAGTGGCACCCAGACTGTCACCTGGAACGGGACGCACTCCCTCCTCGTCTCCAGAGTGGCACCCAGACTGTCACCTGGAACGAGACGCATTTTCGCCGTGCCCAGCTCTGCCAACACTCGCACCTGCCGGCCTAGCATTCCCTGCTCCCAGCTTGCCATCAGCCTGGCACCTGGAGCCGAGACGCACTAACACCGTGCCCAGTGCCGCAATCCTCGATGGCACCTGGCCGGCCACAGAGCTGCCCCTTACAGGTCGGGTTCGGCCAAACAAGTAGAATAGGTTTGCCTCACATGGACTGCTATTACGCGAATGATTGTTTTAATGGCCTGTCGAAGAAGGGGTGGATTGATGGGGAGTTGTTTGAGATGTGGTTTATCCGTCACTTCCTACTGCATGCTTCACCAGTTCGCCCAATTCTGCTGCTAATGGATGGGCACTCCTCTCATTATCAGCCATCTGCTATCCGGAGAGCAGCTGAGGAGGGCATCATCATGTTTCTCTTGCCACCACATACATCACATCTCACTCAGCCACTGGACAAAGGCTGCTTCGGTCCTCTGAAAGTGCACTGGAGGAAGGAATGCTTACTGCTCACCCTGGCCAAGTTGTCACAAGACACCATTTCTCAGCCATTTTCCAAAGAGCATGGTCGAAGTCCATGACAATGACCAATGTCATTGCTGGCTTCAGAACAGCCGGTGTGTACCCACTGAATCGTCTGGCTGTGGCGGGCAAGAGCAAGACCGCATGTGAGTCATTGGCTGAGAGGACGGGGTTGAAGTTCATCCCACTCTATAGTCCCTCACACCATAGAACGCAGGCTGTGAGAACAGGAACAACCTTTGAACCAGAAGAGATGACACTCTTCAAACACGCTTTGAAGAGGGCTATGATTTGGAGGATGAAAGGTATGAGTCCTGGTTAAGAATGTACCACCCTGAAGTGAGGGCCAATCAAGACGACGAGTGAACCCCTGAGCCTTCTCTTTCTGATAGTCTTCCCAAAACAAGTACCCCAGTCTCTGGTAACATAATGCCACGTTCTTCTTTCTTGTCTCGTATCTTGGCTGACCAGGCACCTGTAATCAAGTACCCTGACAAAGCGCCGGGGTCTAAGGGTGGGGCGAGAGTTTTGACCAGCTCAGAGAATTTAGAACATCTAAACCAGAAGGAGAGAAAAAAGGAGGAGGCCACAAACCGGTTTGTTTGTATGTAAAGAATTATTTTGTGTTTATACACTTTTTCCCCAGGTACTGGTGGATTACAACCCGCTTCAGTGGGACGTGGCAGAGAGAGGCGCAAGTCTGAACTTCCAAGGTAGAAAGTTCTTATGGACGAACACTTTTAACACTTCCCCTCGACACCAGTTCTTCCCAACCATAAAGGAAGTGGGATCATGGTGTCCGACTTTGTGGAGGAGCTCCAGGGACTCGTCAAACTCACCGATGCTGAATTCGAAAGAGAAATTACCCAGATTGCTCAACTACTTCTTACGCATGGTGCCGAAAATGAGGGATATTGGACGTGGGACCGTTTAATGAAGCAGGCAGGTGGAAAATGCGGCAAATAGTGTGGTTGTTTGAGCTGCCACTGAAAGTTATCACAGCCAAGAACATCCTGGTCAAGGATGGAGGGTCAGGGTCAGGGAGGGTAAGGGACAGTGTGGGCAAACAAACCATGGGAAAAGGTGACAGATGAAGGTATTGCTAAGGGGTTGCGCACTATCCTATATGCAAGATAAACACATTGACAATGAGTACAGAGAACATGCAAGTCGTTTTATCAAACCACGACGACATCGTAAAATTGAACACTTTCTACACGAAAGAGGTCACTACGCAATTACATTTGGAACGTAATGCTAAGTAAAGTGTTTAACTCCAGGCAAGCCTACTATCGGGCATACACAAACTTGAAACTGCGACCGGTAACTCTCGCAGGCTCCTAAGTTAGACTTTACATGTTCTTCACTGGTAACTGTAACCCCTGGTCTCAAAAGCCCAACCCACAGCAAAAAGCCCAACCCAGTGCATGACTGTACGTGATAAAAGTATGGCACAATTTTGAGATTTCAATTTCGTTTCGTAAATCACGTAAACCATTACGGTATGTGACAGCGCCGTTGATATGGACATTTATGTACATAGAAAAATCGGGTCCATAGAGTGACGTTGCTCCCACTCGCCAATTATTACAGGGCCATAAAGGTAAAACAAATGTATGGATATGCATAGAAAGGCTAATACCTGGCGATAACCCCTGGTCCCATGTAGTCAGTGAAAGAGAGTCCAGTCCTTCCATACACTGGAGGCTGGTGGACCTGTACATGCATATACATAGTAACTGAATATGAGCACATGCACCTCACATGTACACATAGGTGCATGCATACAGTATAATATAGCTGTATAGCATTGTACTACCTTCACTGGTGGCGACAGTGCAGCCGAGCTTCTGTTACAGAAGTTGACAAGCCTCTCGGCATAGAGCTACAAATTGAACAGGAAAAAACACATTCCAAACAGTTTGTGTAATATAAACACAATGTCTTACCTCAAATGCAAACGCTGTGTTGTTTTCAATGACTGCAAGTATCTGACTATCTATGACATAAAGGTGTGTTGGGCAACAATGGTCACTAGCTAGACATCTACGTGCTCACTGGTAACATCCGCATAGATGTAAATGGTGGAGCCTTCAGCGACAGACTTGTCATTGTAGTTGCTGATCCTCTGGAACAGGTCGACTGTGAAGTTCTCTCCAATGACCACAGCAGCCCAGGCTCTTCCATCCCTCACCTCTTGCACTGCACTCTCTTCACTGCTGTGACCATGCTGCAGGGACACTCATGATTATAGTCAATCCTCTCAAATGACTTGTAAAACTAACAAGAGTGAAGGTGTTGTCTTTGGCGAGGATGTCAATAAACCATTCTCCAGTGCCATTGAGGTAGGAGTGGCCTTTACATCCATCTACATACAATATTTCTCATAAAACTACATGTGTCAATAACAAGGTGGCAGAGCTGCCATGGGTGGGATTTGAAAGCACAAGGTGAGTGGTCTAAATGTGTACCTTAACCCCACTCACTCACCTACAGAGCCGCCACTGTCATTATTGAAGTAGGCGAGACTGACGCCGTGCAGGTTCCTCCCAATGGTGAGACAGAGGAGCGAGACCTGGAGTGTGGGCATGAGGAACTGGAAGATGACCAGCCAGGGGTTGCGATAGATCTTGGCCGCATTTTTCCAACAGAGGGCCAGGATGTTGGCTGGCTGGGGACAGCAGTGGGCCAGTTGGCAGGAGAAAGCTGAGCTGATACTCCTGCAAGCTGTGAGATATATAGATGATACTAAAATTGGCTCGTGTAACCTTCGCTTGTAACCCATGTTTATAGCCTGCTCTTCATACATTGAGTAAGCAATAACAAAAAATAAGTACCAAGGAAATAGCACTAGTGCTAGGCTAAACGGTGACACCTCACAAGGAGTAGTACAATTCATCATCACCTTGTGTGGCATAGGCCTCAATGACCCTAGACACATTTCCACAGCAGCCTGTTCTCTGGACACTCACTTCACTGAGGCTGCCATCTTCAGAGGCCCTACTACCTTTCCCTCTCCTGCCTCTTTCCCTCGTTAGCAAAGGGGTCTCCTCGTCTGAGGTGAGATCATCAATTGGAGAATTCTATTTTTAAAAATACACACATCACAAGTGGCATGGTAAACCCAATCATACAATTTTTACACATACCTCTTATAGTAATAATGGGAAGTAGGTTAGCATGAAAACCAGAGAGCATCACATATGTTCATAGGCTCTAGTATACTGAGTGAGGTTATTACACACATGACTCACAATTGATTCGACAGGGGATGAGACAGCGTCTTGTCTCCTACACAACTGCAGGAACACATCTTCCAGTGTCTGTAGGTATAATGCAGGTAGGCATACTCCTTACAAACATTCAAGTAGCTATACAAAGCAGGGGTGTCGGGGGTAGGCACCCTGTCAAGCTCATTGTCCATGTGTACAATGGTTTTAGCTAACTACACACCGCCAACCTATTGGTGTCAAAGAATGAGGAATTGGATATGTTCAGATTTAACAAGCGTATGTGTCATACATGGCCAAGTAATCCAAGGACCTTCACCATGAAAGCCGTTGCATGAAAATTAGGAAAGGGGTGGTATTATTTTCTATTGAGAAACTAACTTCACAGAGATAATACTTTCACACACACACATTTAGAAAGTACATTAAAACCTACTCCCATTCCGTATGAATTAATGAGAGCATTGGGTTCTGACTCGGCCAACAGTTGACCATCTCGCATTAGCCCCACCTGTATTATGTACATCAGCATTATACTCCTGTGCAAGCAACAGCAAGCATTGCCTGAATGCCTTACCACATTGGCTTGCCTGGCCTCTTCAATGTAATGCGTGGTAATAATGATGGTAGTCTGCTTGGTATGCACCAGATCCATCATATGGTGCCAAAGTGCAAACCCTCAGTGAATTGATCGGCTGGGCTATTAGTATGCGTTTACGCATGGTCGACTCCGCACGCTAGTAGCCCGCGGAGAGCCTGTAACTGGCTAGCTACAGTAGTAGATAGCATGCGGGAGTCGATACACGCCCTTTGTTGTGACTTCTTTTACTTCACGCTCGAGGTAAGCCTGTGTTAATTAGACGGACACACTCACGAACCAAGTACCGTAACACTCGCTACGCATGCGCGCCGAGGGTTCTTGTATATAAAGTGTCGCTAGTGCTTGAAAAAGAGTCAACCCTGCTTTAAACATCATGTGCAGAGCAGTTCGTCTGAGTCAAAAGGAACACGTGAGAGGGGGGGGACTGACTTTGCTCTGAGAAGAGGGTCCACTCCAACAGTTGGCTCATCCAGGATGAGTAGAGGAGGCTCCTGCAGCATGGCTACTGCGAATGACACTCTCCTCTGCTGTCCACCACTGCATGTACACACGTCATCAACATCAAAGCAAAGAAAATGCAAACACAACTACACCCAGGACAGCTCTTGGAAAACAGACATGTAGGTGGGATTCAAACCCATGACACTGCACTCTAAAGTGCCTATACATATAATGATTGCATGGTGAGACTTGAATTTACAGGATTAAATCTACAGTATGCTATAACTGTTTGCATACAGAGGAAGCAACATGGAACACACCTCAGTTTCCTAATGAGCTTTGTCTGTGTCGGCAGCTCAAGTAGTGTCAGCAGAAAGTTGCCTCTCTCTCTTACTTTACTACGACTCATTCGGTGTAGGATTCCAAAGTAGTACATTGTCTCTAGCATTGTCAGATCCCCATAGAGAGCTAGTTCCTGGACATAAAAGGTCGGGATAAAATGTAGTATTTGAGGTCACTCCGCTCTGTTCTCTTTGATGTAGGTAAGGTTGCATGTGTTGAAACTCTAGTTACCAGTATCCAGCTTCCATCACTACCATGCATAAGTCTGCATAATAGTATACAGATACCTGTGGCATGTATCCCACATCTCGACCTGGAACTTTATGGCCCTTGGCCCCAGGCGGCTTGCCCAGCACAGACACCTGTCCACTGGCGAGAGTAAGGCGGCCTAGGACACACCGGAGAAGTGTGGTCTTGCCGCACCCACTGGAGCCAAGAAGGCCATAACTGTGAGAGTATTAGGTATGGCTTATGGAGATGCGCGGGAGTAGAGGTTGTTCAAACCGACAAACGTACATATTCCCACTGGGGACGCTCATGTCCAAGTGCCGAAGTACTTCCAAAGTACCGTACGATTTGCATGCTCTCGTCACACACACGGCCAGCTGCCCTTTCCGTTCCTCAGTCATCCTGGTCACAGCATGCACAAGCGGTCGACAGCGCGCGGAGAGAGGAAGGAGTGGCACTTCGCGCATGCGCACATTTACTTGATAATTGTGGCGCGCTGCAAAAAAAACTAAGCACCATGAGCCTTATCCCATGTTTGTTGGTTTTACCACTTATGCACCAAACCAGGAGCTAGTTATAAACTGCCACCTTGTTTAAAGCCTGTGGTGCCAGGAAAGAGAGCCGGTCATACAGACGGTCAATGACAGGGAAGGAATAACAACAATCGAGTAAACCTATGGTGTTAGTGCTACTGAAGTCATATTGCACTTTTCCACATAGCTTTGGACCTGTCGAGATTTGAAGTTAGTAAGTAGGTTATTACAACAATATGAAGTGCTTACAGCTAACACCAAGGAGTCAATCTCCGTCTGTGCCTCCTGGCATCTTTCTTCATGTTGTGTTCTCATCATCTCCAGCTATAAATGCAGAGCATTAAACAGAAATTCAAATGTACACACCTTTTCCTTGACTGTGTCCATCTTTCGGGCAAATAACTCTTCTGAGACTTGAAGAGAATGGACTTGGGTCTGTAACTGGTATACATCCCTGAAAAAGAGGAAAATAATGCTGTGTGAATGAGTGCTGTTACAATGCAGTATTTGGTACCCCCGTGACTGGATAATGTGGGTATTAAACGGTTGGCATATCATAGTAAATGCGTGCCATGAGGATTGTAAACTACGTACTTATTGGTTAGTCTATGTGCAGAACGATAGTGACCAAAACAGCTTTGGCAAGAAAATGGTGTAAAAAGCAAGTGAAAATGCTAATGAGCAATAGCTAAATATCGTTGTGCACAACAGAAGCTTTTAAAGTTATATACATTGAGCCCAGCCATGCTTAAATGCTATTTGTGGATGTATGTACATAATACACAGTACCCAGAGAGCAAGCTGGTCACTGGAATGTGTATTTGAACCCTTACTGGGACATGTAGTGCATACCTCTCCAGTTCCGACTTTGACGACTGTGAAGACAACATCTTCTGGTCATCATAGGCCACTTCATGGGCTTCTTTTGCAACAAACTTTAGATGACGGACAAGATTCTGCATGTATGTACAGTGGAGTCTCATTATAATGAATTGCTGGGGACCTAAAGAATTTGTTCACAGTAAGGGGATTTGTCATAAGTGTGGTGAAAATGTATAATTATGGCTAGGCTCCGAGGGTGTGTTTGTAGTATCCATACCAAGTGTGTTCTTTATAATGATATGCTGAGAGTACACCTCGGTCAGTGAAAGTACTCACATGTACACTGTAAGCTACGCAGAACCTTTGCAAAGGTCCATGACTGTGCATAATAGATGCAAGGGAACACAGTTCGGCATGTCGTAGATATGACTTCAATTTAACAGATATATGCAGTGAGACTATTGTATAATATAGAACGTTCATTTTTCACATTTGATTCTCTTACTGCTCCTTTAGAACTGCACAAACAGACCTGAACCACATTTCACAATGAAATAATAAACCACAGTGGATGATTCATGATTGTGGGATGATTCTATAGGACAGTTGGCCAGTTCTGAGACCAACAGGTGTACTACATGGCACATGGACAGCTCACTGAGAATATTTTAGGGTGTGAAAAGCAAACATGCAAATGCCGTGCCTGGCTTAGACTCAGCTAGCATCATCCAACTGTTGAGCTGATCCTATGATCTTTACATGAAGAAATTATACCATGTGATGCCAAGAGGGAAAAAATGAGGAGCTCTGGACAGCTGTTTCGGGCTTGTTGGCCCTCATCAGCAGAGCATACCGTAACTTCTCTCTCTGGCATCATGAGTTTATAAAGGCTACCAGGAGCGCAGCGCTTGTGGTCCAGAACTAATGAGATTCATTCCCACAAGGCTTTGCTACTGGTAGGCGCTAACCATCCCAGACATTCATGGTTTGGAGCCTAGGCCCCTCCCCACTCCTGCTGGTCAAGGCCAGCACCGAGCCAAAACCCGAACTCACAAGCATTTGTCACCCAACAAAAATTCCAATTAACCACTGCAATGTAGCAAAGCATTACACAATATTGGCACAAAAGTTGTGAAATGAGTGAAAACAGTGCAACAGATTGACAGCATGACGACCCTTCGTAAACCCTTACCTGGTTTTTAGAAGATACTTCTTTAAGTGTCTGCTTTTGTCTGGCAATTTTCTCTTCTATTGCTTCAGTAAAGTGGCTCTCAAGATCACTATAAATGGTAATTTTATCATAATTATGATGTGTACACGTACAGTGCATGTAGAAGGGCATTTTGCACTATAGAGTAAGCAAGCAGCAAATATGGACTGATTTGTGCTTATTGTGAGCTCTGATTGCAGGTCTTTTGATCACGGTATATACATGTTAGTCTCGTGCCCAGATCCTCAAGTTATCGTTATCCTGTGCGAAAGAGGTGTGATAGCTAGATAGAGATACAGATATGACGTAGACGCTCCTTCTCCTTGTGGGTGGAGCGGCTGGGTACGACACTACTTACTATCAGCTCCCACAACTACAATATCGCTCCTGTCCCTCTGTAATTGTGTACGGTAAAAATACCTTGCTTTATTTGTTTTCATCGTGAGCGCCTCCATGTCCTCGTCAAGCCCTTTCAAAACATGCTACAATTCAAAAAGAGGAAGAACACTGTCAATGAAGACAAGGTGTAATGTTAGGATACAGATAAAAGATGGAGGAATTGTGTAGCGGAAGAAAGGTCCCAAACATGAAAAACGAGGTGTGGTTAGCGGCAAAGCCAGGTGTGGATATTCTAAGACAGTCTGTTCTCACTGGCTAATTTAATTAAAGGGAATGTGGCAGTATGCAATGGCTAAATTTAGAAACTGTTACTGAAAATGGACACCTAATTGCATTCTCGCACTGGGCCAGTTCTAACATTTCTAAATTGAGCCCTTATGCACTGCCACATTCCCTTTAAGCTTGTGTTTTATCAGAAATCAGAATAGAGTCAGAATAGAACGAAGGCGTGTAAGTAGCTAGTACCTCATGCGAAAGTCTGACTAATACATTCACATTATTTTGTGTATATATACTCAGTGAAAAAAAAACAGTATAATGTCAATGGGGGGAGATGGTAAGCCCTCCCCCCTCCCTCCGCCCACACACTAGACTTACGTACATTTGGTATGTGCTGTGCTCGAGTAGCAAGAGATTCCCACATTCTCTTCAGTCTGTCAGAGTCTTGGGTTCCACTCTTTATTTCTTCTACTTCTTGTTGCAATTTTACCAGTCGCTGTACACACCATGAGGTAATAGTCAAGTTCATTGATTGTTACATGTAAGTTATGTAATTGATGTGTCTGTGGGGGCTGGGATGTACTATGTACAATGATGGCAACGAATAAAGAGAGCAGGCGGATCATTCAAGGTAGCAGTGTGATTATGCATATACATAGGCTTTTTCACTTGTTTTCACGGCGTATCTCTCGAACATAGCCATTTCAGGAAAATTCCCATTATATTTTTCAGGCTTGCATAATTTGAAACTGTTGGCCTTGTAGCCTGATAGCTGCAGACAGACAAACACACACAAAGACCAAATACTGCAACTCTCACAGTGCATGTGCGCTGAGGGTTAATAATTATGCACCTGTTGTTTTTACTTGTGTTCTGCCCATATTTGGCCACCACCCCACTAAAACCAGTTGGCCATGACTGCCTTGTATATAACAACAACTAGATAAATATATTATAATGTGTAATTAACCCTCGGGCACGCATGCGCAGCGAGGGTTACTGTAGTTGGGTCTGTCTGTGTGTGTGTGTGTGTGTGTCTGTTACTCTACATCTCACTTGTCGAGTGTTCGTTCGTCTCACAAAGGATAACGGGCAATGAAGGTCAGAACTTCGAACTGTTTTCTCTGAAAACGCTCCGTTGCAAAGCTATGTAGAGCGCTTCCACCATTGTAGGCTAGTGCGTAGTCGACCATTTTATCGCTGCGGAAAATGCGCAAGCGCTTATTAACCTCGACCGGGTCTGCTTGCTCTGTGTATCTTGAAGTCACAACGAAGGGCGTGTATCGACTCTCGCATGCTATCTACTACTGTAGCTAGCCCGTGTCAGACTCTCTGCGAGCTACTAGAGGGAGACCACGAGTAAACGCATACTACTAGCCCAGCCCATCAATTAGCTGTACCGTGCATGCGCAGTTCGCCAAGGGTGTGCTTTTCATTTACTTTGTAATTGTGGCCTGTACCCATGTGCACATTTAATTGGCTTACAGCTCTCAGTTTGTCTGGTGAAGTAACAATTTGTTTCCTGAGGTCCTCGGTGCGCTGAGAAGACTTGTCTAGTCCACTGTCAAGAATGGCCTATAAATCATAACATCAACATTACACATACTACTTGTTACAGCTTTGCTCAATACGAGTAACCGAGCTATTGCTCAAATGTTGTACTTTTACACAGAAAAGACACCACACCTTCTTCTGTGTTTCTTTCTGCAGTTGTTCCTCTACATCTTGAAGATGCTGTCTAAGTGTAACCTAAGGTGAAAATATACAGGTTATTGAGAAGCTCTAGGCAAACACGCAAGTATCATTGTGATTAGAAGTGAAAGACGTTCCCATCACATATTACAGCTGGGTGTATATAATTATGTATGCTCAACCACACATAATAAGCACACTTAATATTTGGATCCCAATGTGCATGAGACGGCACTCTGAGCATGCCAGTGCAAGTTTCCTTGATGGACGTTTGCCGTAGAGTATGAGTTGACAGATATACTTTGTGTGTCAATACGCACGTAACCATTGCACTGTCCACAACAGTGTCTCACAGACATTACAGCTAATTAAAGACAACCGTTCAGGTTTTGTAAGTTAATACAGGAGGTAACACGTGCTGGCCCCTCCAACAGATTTGCAACACACTTCTTAATAGCAAAAATATGGTGCCGAGGGTTCTGCATATTCTTGTCTGTTGTGAGTCTGGTATGCAACATTGAGTGAGATCTCATGCATTATCACTGCATCGGGAACATAACATTACCTCTTGCTCCTTTCTTCGTTGGATAAGATCTTCCTGCTCAGCTATTATCATTTCCAGCTACACAGCACATACATACACAAACAAAAAACCATCACACAAAAACAGCACATCTCATTCTCCCATACACAACTACACAGGCCAGGTGTGAGTAACATGTGCTAATGTGTCAGTCATTTACACACGAAAATCACTTCTTTCTTTATTGTGTGTGTGTAAGGCTTACAGGCAGAAAGTGATTAGAAAGCAAAAGAAGTTGCCGTGGCAACGACTGAACCAGCCTTCCTCTTTCTTCATGCCAGCTACATTACCACTCCACCACATCCGTACTAGCTGGGAGCCATAAGCTGAATATCACACTTAGTGATTACCTCTTCTTCGTGCTCCCGTTCCTCCTGTTTCTGCCGTCTGTTAAACAGGTTGTGATAGACGGATAGCACAAGCTACATGGTTGTTGTTGATACTCACTGCATGGATCCCAGCTTCTGCTTAAGCTCTGCATTTCGATGTGTTGCCGTGGCTAATTCACTCAATTGTTGACCCTGCACACCAACCAAACAGGCACAGTCGTGATGAATGTCGCAAGTGAAGTCTCAAAACACTTACGTACCATAACCTCTTCCAGTTCTTGACCTTCTCTTGCCATGTGAACGTGAAATTTGATGAAATTCAGAATTGCACTGTAGCAAACAAATACCAGGAAGCTAACAGGTGGAGTACAAAACATTTGAAGGAACCATCATCGGTCATTCTTCACTTGTGTATCTTTAGTGAACCCTAACTACCCACACACACTTTATGACATAATTATACTAATCCAGGATTAATCCTTGCCATACAGTGCTTGTGTACATGTCCATCACGCTCAGGAATGTGAATTAGTAACCAATAAGAAGTGTAACTCCCGTCTCTTGTTGACTTGTCGTGAGTGTGTCCGTCTTTCTGTCTGTCTGTTAATTACCACGTTTTCTGCCATCATGTGCAAGAAATAACAATACTGTGTTCGAAAGTTATGGCGTGGAAACAAAGTGAACAAGCCAACATGCTAATTAGCACAGGCTTACCTCGACCGGGTCTGCTTGCTCTGTGTATCATGAAGGCACAAGAAGTCACAACGAACCCGCATGCTACTACTGTAGCTAGTCCGTCTCCGCAAGCTAAAAGCGTGGAGATCACGAGTAAACGCATACTGCACATCAATTAGCGGTACCACACATGCGCAATTGGCCAACGGTTTGCACTTTAGTGCTTTTCTTTGTAGCAAAGTTCTGGGTATTCGCTTGGTCATTGCAAACTTATATGTTACATTCACTGTGTTGCACACACATGCTAGCTTGCATGCTAGCCTGCATGCACAGTTTCGCAAGCAATTGAGTGTGCAATAGAGGAGAAAACACATTATTGGTACTTTGCCTACTGTGACAAGGTTGCAAAGATGCCAAACTGTTTGAAATGGGTGGCAAGCGAACTGTCTTACTCGAACAAGTGAAGCCTACCCTAGAACAATTCAGTCTCCACTCGCAATAATTACCTACAATGTAAATACTTGTGTGACTTCATACAGCTCTAACATCTCTCTGTACAAGTATTTACATTGTGGGTAACTGTGAGTGGAGGACTGGAGGTTGAATTGTTCTAAGGTAAGCTCTACTCCAAGAGGTAGGTGTACAGAAAGATGTTAGAGCTGTATGAAGTCACACAAGTATTTACATTGTGGGTAATTGTGAGTGGAGACTGAATTGTTCTAGGGTAGGCTTCACTTGTTCGAGTAAGACAGTTCGCTTGCCACCCATGTCAAACAGTTTGGCATCTTTGCAACCTTGTCACACCTACCTTAATATGCGGCATGTTCTTTTAGCATCTGCAGAAAGAAGTGTGCATACATAATATATTGAGTGAGAATATACTGTGCCATAGCACAGTGGCTTGAGGTTTGCCTTTATCTTGTGTTGAATTGTGTTGTAGATTTGAACCCCTACCAGCTGAGTTGCCCTGGTAGCTCAGTTGGTAGAACGCTTGCCTAGACTGTAGAGTGTCGTGGGTTTAACCCCACCCAGGGCAGCTCAGGCAAAAAAGAGCTGTCCTGGGTGTAATTGCTTTGCCTTTGCCTTGCTACGTCACCCTCTTGTTTACTCAATGTCAAGCACATTTCTCATTCAGTTGGCAAGAATGACTAGCAAGGTTTTCACTGTTGTCTTAGTACCAGGTTATTATCCATCAAAATGCATGGTTCTGTGTCAGCCTCTATTTCCCACAGCAAAAGCAAAGGGAGACGGCAGATTTACAGTAAAAGCAATGGCAGCATGATGACTGGTTATAAAATTAGTGTGAGAACAAAGTAACCTTTATCTTGTGATGTGGGGAGGAGATTTGGTTTTTGTTCTTTGTTTCTTATTAGTGTGCTGTTTTCATGTAGCTTATTATTATACCTGGATTAACAATATCCTCCAACCGGAAATCTGGAACTGCACAATTTTCCATCAGCTTTTTCCTGTATCAAATACATTCACCACAATACGGACTTTACATGTGTAAACCACACATACATTAGCCGGAAAAATTGAATTTTTGCCGAAAACTCTTCCATTAACTCTGGATGATCCACCATGAAACTGGGCTAAGGAGATGAAAATTACTTGAGTTACATACGAGATTGACAAGTACGAACACGTCCATACACGTACCTGAGTGCTTAGATCAGGCGAAACACCAAACACCTCTACAAAGCAGGCATAGTACACTTGGTTGATCTTGAAAGCCTGAAGAAATATACTATTCTGCATCCTCAGTCACATAGTGGGACACCATGTACGTGTGTTTTATTTTACTCTGTGAAGGCATGAAACTTGGATCCCCCAAGTTCCACTAGCAGCCTTCCGTCTCTATCACGCATGTATTACTTCCCACAGCAGTATTTTCACTTGCAGGTTAGTGTATATACTTACCGTAGGGTTGGTAAGATCCTCTTCTGTGATGCTAATCCGTGGCATAGAGGCATCCATTTGCCCTAGAATCATGTTGACTTGCTCCACAAGTGCCGCTTTGCTCAAAAGTGCAAAACGGTAACGTTCCTTTTTTGCTGGTTTCCCTGATTCTCTCCCTATCTCACGGTTTCTAGGAACCAACGGCTTTCTACTAGCCATGATTGATCACCAACACCACCAAAAGCCAAAGCGAAGACGACAAAATAATACTCCAAAATTTGCGCCAAAGTTAGAAAGGTCAAAGTTCGTCATAGCAGTGTTATGCGCATGCGCGTCCGGCCATCAACTTCAGTTGTAGTTATACTTCATGACCTAGACATCAGAAACCACCTTGATTAAGTCTTTTTCAACACTTTATCTCCTCTCTGTGGTCAAGATCCAGTCAGTGTCACTGGATCTTTTACTGCCTATTACAAAAATAAGGGCTACTACCTCTACTGTTTTTATGTCTATACACCCTTGCTAGATTCACATCCTAAGTACTAAGTCTCATAGATTTCCTCCACCACTTTTCCGACCATGTACTCTCCAGGATGGAGTCCCAGGGCATTCAGAGCAGTGGGTGCAAAGTCCTTGTCTGTTGTGTATCCAGATATCTGGTATCCTTTCTTCACCTGAGGCCCCATGAACAGAGCTGGGATGTACATGCAGACCTCATCAAACTGACCATGCCCAAACCCATACCTGTGATAGAAATTGACATTTCTCAGCCACAGATTCCTGTTAGACAAAACTACCAAAGTATAGCTACTCACCCTCCATGATCTGCTGTAAGGATGAACAGAGTATCATTATATATTCCAGCTGTATGAAATGCTGTCATAATCTCTCCAATGTATCCATCCACAGACTACACAGAATAGAGCATCTGAGGTAAAATAAAAGATACACCGCCCTACCTTTACAGCGTCATAATACTGTGGGCTGCCCCACGAGTAGGCATGACCAGCCTCATCAATACTAAGAAAGTGAATGAACATTAGATCTGGCTTGTGCTCTGTGACAAAATTTGACATGTATTAAAATAGTTAAAGAATCACGCATTTTCAGAGGTGCAATTCTGTTTTTGTGAGGTGCAATGTTAAAACAGAAGATATCACTCACACCACCTAAAATGTTCCAGCTTGCTAGAATGTTATGTAATTGCTACGTTCGCTTGTGCCAACGCTCCCTCTAAGTTAAAGGATATCTGCTTTGCACAAAGTGGGTCCAAACCCATGCAGCGGAAGTTGTAGTCCACGATGCCGTCCTCCACCAGGTAGTAGATCCAGTCCCAGGACTCTGTCACAGCCACCACCACACTGCTGTCCTGACTCTTGGCAGCACGCCACATCGTCTCTGGGATCTGGGTAAGTGTTCATAGTCTGTTTAGTATTACGGCCATGGATCGTACCTTTCCTTTCCCACTGATAGGAGGAAGAGCATGCACAGTAACATTGGGAGGGTTATCATCTGGTGGCACCCAGTCATTGTCAGGAACACCAGATTCCTCAGGACCCATCCCAGTTATGATGGTAGCTGTGATTTTGTAGTAGCGAAAATTATTATTCATCTCTCATAACTACTTAGCTATAGGCTTACCCCAGTTTGGAGCACTGACTGAGGGCATTTGATCCCTGGCTCTTGTTGTGTGAGCTCCATCAGTGTAAAACTTGTTGACATTGGGAAGGAAAGAAGTTGCATTCTCCAAGTACATTCCTCCTGTAGAATATCCAAAGCGAGCGATCCATACGCATAAACCGTTTATAGCTGATCAATCGACCGCTCAAACGTACCAAATCCATCACAGCCGAAAATGATGACGTGTTTTGCAGAACCGAACCCGCTACTCTGAACACGTGGAAATGCACAGACACCACTAAAGACGCACTGGTAGACGGCAAACACCACTAGAGCTCCACGAAGACCCAACATCGTGCAGTCGGAAGGAGAATAGCTATCGTCCAAACAGGTGAAGCGGGGAGAGGTGCTGGACAATTGGCGAGCTGGGAGCGAACCACCTAGACGTCACACACAATGAGGTGAGATCATCCGAGGACGAGCACTTTGCGCACACGTGCACAACCGCCGTGGCGGAACCACGCATGCGCAGTTCGCCGAGGGTTTGCACGGTGTTGGTTACTAAGTTACTTTTTGTTTGTAAGTCCTGACTATTGTAATGTTAATACTTCACCTAGGCAACAATATAGGGATTGTGTGATGGGGTCGGGGGTGTCAGCTTCATGTATCCCATCCCTATCTTGTCTCCCTTTCTTTTTATACCATCCCTCCTACATGCCTCTTTTTTTTACTTGTCTCCACTTATTTTATATACTACTATATATGTATTGTATATCTGTGTGAAAGGGGACAAGCCCCCTATTAAAATTAATAATATCAAAATGCCTGTAAATCAGCAGTAGAAAGGCAAAGGCACAACAAACAAATCAACCAAGGAAAAATAAAGAGCTGCCCTAGGTGGGATTCGAACCCACGACACTCTGCAGTCTGTCTAGGCGAGTGCTCTACCAACTGAGCTACCAGGGCAACTCAGCTGGTAGGGGTTCAAATCTACAACACAATACAAGGCAAACCTCAAACCACTGTGCATGCATAGCTACCAAGTTTCATCTCCTGTGTGCTACCGTTAGAAAGTTTGAGGATAAATGCCTGAGGCTATTTGTTGTTGTTCAAACAATATGTAGTCTTCATGGAAACGTGTAGTTTTCATGGAGATAATAGTGTGTATCAAGTTTCATCTCCATGCTAGCATGTTTAATGAGTGAAGATGTAATAGAAATGTGCCTGAGGCTATTTGTTGTAGTTTATAAACATGTAGTCATGGCCTTATACTAGCTGCTGATACGATGCCCCAGATCTCCACGATAGAATCTGCTGAAACAGTTACTGTCTACATTGTGCGTGCTCAGGGGACCCTGGGAATAGTCAGTGCAGAGTATCTGACTCGTGACGGTACTGAAACAGGAACTGGTGCAAGTCCTGACTACGTCCCGACTGCAGGTTCAGCTGTGTTCGGACCTGACGACCGATACACTACTCTGGAGCTGTCTTTGGTTGATGACGACACACCTGAGAGAGAGAAAGTCTTCAACGTTAGCCTCACTAACCCAGCTGGAGGTAAGACCATGATACAGCTTCTGCAGAAGGTGTAAAAATATTAGTCCCAATGTTTTTAAGCCGGTATATAGTACCCATGGAACAAATAGCATCAAATAGTTATTCTATGTGTGTGCAACATAATTCTGCTATTTTGCCTACAGACCCAGGGTGTACCAGGGCTCTCTATTGGTAGCAACATGACCATTAGACGACTCATTTGCTGCCGACTCTCTCTCCCGACTGGTGTCAGAACAAGATGGAGGAACTGCTGTCACTCTCAACGTAGAGAGACTTGGAGGAACGTTTGACGATGTGTCGGTCTACTGGGAGGTGGAGGGAGGGGGTGGTGGTGACGTTAGCCCTATATACCTCGGGTCGACTTGACTTCTCATGAGGTACATTGTATACCCTGTCTAGGGAGTGTTGTGGGTTCAAGTCCAGGAACAGCAATTTCTTGTGCCATTGGATTCTTTGATATGCACTTGCCTTGTGCTTGTTGCACAAAATTTTGCCGGGTTCAAAAACTCTCAATCTCTAAGAGGAAGAAAGAGCCTCACACTACCTTAGCCGGTAAAATATTGGCAATTTACAAGGCTTATAACTATATGTTGCTTGTGATTGCCCACTTGCCACTACCTACTACTGTAGCTAGCCCGTGTCTGTCTGACTCTCCGCGGGCAGTAAATGCCGGCCCAGTCCAAATTTGGCAGCATCGCGCATGCGCAGTTCGCCGAGGGTTTGCAGAACAGTATATACCGGCCAGATACGGACTACGATTATTGTCACTAATGAAACTTGGAGGCTTGATTACTGTTGCTGGCCTTTGAAAAGAGAGCAGTTAATAATGTCTGTAAAATGCACATCTAAGCACAAACCTATGCACTTTTCATGATATTCATCATGGGATGCCTCTTGTGTTGACTCTGTGTACATAGACAAGCCCAGACGTGCATATACCACTGAACAAATCTAAACCAGCCAATACCTTTGCACCACTCTTCTTTGATCTGGTCTGTGGGTTTGGTGCCAGTTGTCCCCTCTGCCGCAACTAGTTTCACCTCTCTTGCATTCTTCTGGCGGTGTAGCACAGCATCCATGAACTCTTTCAGGGTATCGTATACAAGCACCAGGTTGACATCTTTTTCTGTGAAACGCATAGGCTGCAAGTGTATACTCCAATTTTATGGAGCAATAATTATACAGGGCAGACAGGGGGAAAGTAAAATGGGAAAAGAGGGCAGCCCTGTAGACATGACAAATGTATGTAATACACAGGGGACTATAGTGCGGCCTTGCGGCCTTGTGAATACTCTATGTTGTGAAAACAACCGCCTACTTTGTAAACATACCTGTCGGCCACTGCTCCATATTTTGTAGTCTCTTTGTGAAAATTCACAGTTGAGAGTTTTTATAGGTCACGATCCGTGAAGTCTTGGCACTGTACTTTGCACCCACTCATTTTGGTACCGCCCCATTGTTTCAGCAATGTACCGCACGTGATTAAAATCAGAGTGTGCACTTGATGCTAGATGCCCATGGGCTAGACTTTGTTGTGCAACTTTCCAGTTACTACAAATAGCCAAAGATAATTACACATTTTTACATTTCTGCAGTCAACTGGCAGTGGGTGGAGATGACTACACAGCTACATCTGGTAGCCTCATCTTTGAAGAAGGAGATCTGACAAAGAGCTTCACTCTCTCAATCAGCAGTGACAGTGTTCCTGAACTGGATGAGTACATTTTCATAGCCATCACCTCTGTGGAGCTTGATCCTGACACTGTGGAGGATGTTGACAGCTCTGGTACACACTCTCTCCCTTCCTTTTACAACATCTACAGTATTTTAGTATCACCTTTCCTTGAGCTTCTAGTCCACTTTGTTGCAAGCTTTCGTATGACTACTTGCCACAAAATATGCTTGTTATTGTAAGCACGCTAGTATGCACAGCAGGAAGTGAGTTTTACCCAATACTTCCTCATTTAGTACTGCCAACTTCAGCCAGTGCGACGGGAGTCTGGCGTTTGTGGTGATTGCTGAAAATGACGATGCTCGTGGAGTCCTGCAACTATCCAGCTCCACATATGAAGCTGAAGAGTCCTCACAGAACTGTCAGCCGAGGAGCTGGTAGCTTTGGAACAGTACGTCATGCAGCACGAACTAGCCTCAAACTCAGTCTCTTATCTGTTTCTTTGCCACGAGGGGGACACGGTTTCTTTGCATGTAGTTGTCATGGAAATGATCTAATACACATGTATACCAAGTTTCACCTTTAGCTAACATTAGAAAGTTTGAGGAGTGAAGAAGTAAATTTAAAGAAAAATTGCCCGAGGCTATTGGTTTTTGCTAACAGACATGTATTTCATGATTTGATGTTGATGATTGAATACATGTAAGGATGGAGATGAATGACTAGCTATCTGTCTTGGTGTAGGCATCTTCTTGTTCCCTTCCTTTTTAATGACTTCACATCCCTACATCCCCTTCATTTCATAGAAAAGATTTTTCCACTTGTACTAAGTACTACCGTACTTAGTGATAGTATAATATTATTTTATGTGCAAAATATCCACTAATGTGTGCACTTTTAACATGGATGGTTGCTACTCCCTTGGGTCTTTGAATGCGAGGAACCACAATCATATCCTTTACACAAACACACTGTATGACATTGCACCACATGTAGCTACACTAGAACAGGACCAGATGCCCAGCATTGTGGTGGCCATTCAGCAGTAGTGACTTACAAAAACGATGGACGCGGTTCGATTGGAGAAAGAGAAGCCATTTGGTAGGGAGATGGGGATGGGGTCAGAGTTCACTCCATTTTTCTGAGGAAGGGACCAGGTGAGGTCGGCAAAGGAGGAGTCAAGCTCCAGGAATTCGAGTAGAGAGGGAGTAAGAATTACTGCAGCTAAAGAACATAGCAGGTCCAGTTGCACGACTATAACACACGTAGTAAGTAAGCTGAAGTCACTTTCACCTTGAGTTCTTGAGTTAGCTATGCTACTTCGGATATCACCGACTTACAACTCCGAATCCAGAGGAGATTATAGTTTGTTACCTGATGAGCTGTCAAGTGAGAGGCACAAAGCGAACAATGCGGTCAGCCACTGCACCAAGGTATCTCCTCTCACGTGCAGACCACAATTCATCTCTTACTGCTCCACTGGCTAGAGAGCACACCCTGCGCTCGTTGTTGACTAGGAAAGGGGATATGCGCTGCCTCAGGGCCGTGATGTTAAGTTTAGGATGTGCTTATAGCTACATAAAGGAAAGGTATTTCATAATGCCTGTGTATAATATTGCCAACTTGATTACCTTACAATAAGCCGATATATAGTCTGGCCCGCCTCTCCTACAAAAAGGCCTGGTGATTTCATTACGGTTATCTCAGGTGAATTTGGTGTATCAGTCATGTGGGAAACACATGTGAGTTTAGGCTCAACAGCAAGCAACACCACACGCTCGACAGTGCTCAGGTAGAGAGAGGTACATTAACGTATAATGTGAGTTCCTCTGCTCCTTGGAATGTAGTTATGTAGCATGCAAACTGCATGGTTAGCCCCCAAAACCGAGTAGCTAACTGTTAGCTCGGAAGAGTAATTTGATAAAACCTTTCATGCTCACCGGTCTATCACAGTGTTTTCCATGCTCAAGTAATCCATCCACTGGTCTAGTCACTTCCTCTCTTTCTCTGTCCGACCACTGGTCTACCTCTCCACTGGTCTACCGTTCTGCTCCCATATTTATTCCATACACTGATTCCTTCCCTGCTCGATGTAGCTATCTATTAACTCTTTCAATGTCATATTTTCTCTTTTACTGGTCTTCCTGTACAGTAGTGATACCCTTGCACTTTTCTATTTCTTATCCAGTTATTCCTTTTTCCACCCACACGTACACAGCATGGTTCTTGCCATAGTTTCTCTCTGTATAATATTCCATTGTTGTAATTCTGTGTCCTTAATACTCATGTGAACAAGGTACCGGTGTTATAGCCATGGCACATGCAAACATTGGTCAAATAGGGCGGAGTTTTGTTTTTAATTCACTAATGGAAACCTTGGTTTTCTAGAAAAAATGGCTCCTGTATGAGATACCATACTCTTGGCATCAGCTATAATTATACTGTAGCTTGTATCTGTAAGTAGCCCATGATGGCAGGATTTGATCATAACCGACAGCCAAGCGCGTTGTATTTCACTCATAGTTAATACAGTTCACATTTTGCACTTATTAAAATTTAAAAAGATGGGTAGTTTAATAAAATTCCAGTGATGGTGATGACATGATCACATAAACAAGGTGCCGATACCTGAGTAAGCTAGTACAGCCAGTGGCTGTTGATAGTAATGGGGAAGATTGGGTGCGGGGAGGGAGGTTAGGGGATGAAAATTTCTGACAAAATAAACTCCAGAAGTGACTGAAAAGTAAACAAAAATAAGTGAAAAGAATAATTCTCCTATTGGAAGTGGATTACATTAATGCTTGGTTTTGCTTGACATGTGTGAGGGGTCAAGTCAACTCCTGGTTATGTTTGATAGCGTTCCAGGTGGCAGGAGGACGTGGGAAGGAGATGACATGACAGAGAAGACCTGGCCAGGTCTGAGAACGACCGTAGCTGGCCCACCATACCCCACATACTGCGACGGCTGGATGACGGTCAGGGGTTTGATGGACATGGGCGACTTTGAACCCTGGGGCGAGGCAGACGTGAGGAGACGGGAGGAGGAAGAGGACTGGGCTAGAGTCTGGGTGACATTGACCGGTGCGACGTTTGAAAATTGAGGCAACTGCATGAACCCGGGCGGCTGCATGTACTGTGCAACCTGCGACGTTGGCAAGAGTTGTGACTGGACAGTGTTGAGCACAATTCCCTGTCTCGGGATCAGAATCGGTGTTTCTGAGGACGAGGCTACAGTTTGCGGTGTCATGTGAACGGTGATAGGTACAGGGTCTTGTTTCATGGTGGGTACAGCCAGTTCTGCCTTTAGTGGAGAGGGAGCTGTCATCCTTGCTACTAGTGGGGTGCTGGGTAGTTGGACGAGTGGGTAGTTGGCGAGGGAAGGGGGTTGGGTAGTAGTCTGTGAGGCGGTCCCCTGTGGGTAGGTGCTCTGCAGCTGTTGCTGGAGGTGTGCAACTTGCATTCTGACTTGGTACTCCACTGATGATGTACTACTGTCCAGCGATCGGGTAGGAGTGGCGGCTGGTACAATTCCGGCGGGGAGCAGAGTGGGCATGGTACCCGGGGGTGTTCTGTTTTGACTTGTCTGAGATGGCGACACTAGCACGGAGGGTCTGCTGTAGAGAGACGCCATTTGTTGCCGAGATGGGGACACAGGGTCCTCCTCACCCTCTCTCGAACTCTCACCTGGCTTGGCTGCTCCCAATGCAAAAGTAGAGACAGAGCTGCTGGGAACAAAGACCACCACCATCTGATCCGTGCCCTCTATTTGCATCATCACTGGCTGGAAGCCAGCGGGAGGAGCTGGTGTTGTCGCGACACCACCACCAGAGAGCCCAGCCCCAGTGGCTGGGGTGGCTGGCACCTGGAGGATAGGGAGGGGCAGCAGGGGTTGCCCTGAACCAGACACCACAGATGACGGCGAAGTCTGGAGCAGAGGGCTGGCCAGGGTGGTCGAGGCCGTTGGAGAAGGCTGCGCAATGACGTACGAGAACTGAGGTTGAGGAAAAACAGAAGGGACCCCTGTCACACTCTCCTGTCTAATGACACTCATCCGGTTGGCAGTAGTAGGAAGAGAAGTGATCTTGGTGAGGGATGGCATGGAGTAGTGGAGGAGGGAATCAGCACCTAGCAGAGAGGGGGCCACCAGCTGACTCGGCGAAGACGGCTTCCGAGGAGATCTCCTGTGCCAGGGAATGGAGCCTCCGGTGCTCCCACTGCTGCTGCTGCTCTCCGAGCTACCCTCCCTGATCCGGTGGGCAAACTTGACGTGCTTCCTCATGGAGCTAGGGTCCGTGTAGCTCTTGGTGCACCCGGGGATCTTACAGGCGTACGGCTTGCGGGTGATGTGGGTCTTCATGTGCTTGGCCCGGTCGCTGGTGTTGTTGAACCGCTTGTTGCAGTTCTCGTAGTGGCAGGCATACGGCTTTTCCCCCGTGTGTGTCCTCACGTGCAGCTTTAGGTTCTCCAGGCGGGAAAACGAACGGGAGCACCCCTTCACGTCACACTTGTAGGGCTTCTCGCCGGTGTGGCAGCGGAGGTGGGTTATGAGTTTGTAGCGGGCATCAAACGGTTTCCGGTCGCGCTGGCAATCGTGCCACAGGCAGCGGTAGGTGACCATGGTGGCCGTGTGGCCACGGTCCAAGTGGGCCACCAGGTAAGATAGGTTTGGGAACTCCATGTTACAGTCGTCCCAAAGGCAAGTGTAGGGCCCCAAACCCTCCATTTCCTGGGGGTCTCCTTCCTCGACACCACCGAGATGCTCACAGCTGCTCGGTCCACTGATGGAGCCCGTGGTGGACGACGTGTGACTCGAACACGAGAGGAGGAAGGGAGGAGGGGGAGGTGTGGTTGTGAGAGTGGTGCGGATGTGTGTGATGGGTGCCAGCTGCACCTGGGAAGGGGTGGGACTGGTGGTGGTGAGGGTGGGAGGGGAGGGGGAGGAGGTGAAGTGAGAGGGGAGAGGGTGGGGACGACTGCTACCGTAACTGGCAGAGGTTGGTGAGTTGGGGCTGCTTGGAGGACTGGATACACCTTCATGCTGCGTTAGAGAAAAGAAGAGTAGAGGGAGAGAATAAAAGAGGGAGTAGAGGGAGAGACAGAGATATAGAGATGTAATTAGACACCTGGTCGACTAAACACCATATACGTACTACACATCATTTTTTAAGGTTGCACTTTCTTCGCCCACTTAAACTTGGCCACACCAAGACGGTTATGTATGTCACACTCTGCCGACTGGGCACTGTGACATCACAAAAATGTAATTAGCTATGTTTGGACCCATGCAGATGTACATGCAATGAAAAGGTCATGCGTCGTCATCCTTTCTGACTGGCTTATCGAATCAACTCACGACCGGTTTGGAAGCGAACCTTGAAAACGTATGGTGACCCCAATCACCACTGATTGTCAAAAGATCAGAGAACGAGGGGGCATCTCATTTCGTGTACCAACGCCCACCATTACCGGGTTAGGGCGCATAACTGCAAACCCTCCGCAACCTACTCACCGCATGCATGACGCAGTGTGCTACATGTTGCATGTACGTACATGTATGTAAGTGTAGTATGAACATGCTGCAGAAAGCTGTGTAGTACTTTACAAGACTACAGTGTATGTATGTATGTATAGTACATGTTGTATAATTGTATAATTCAACAAGCAGAGCAGTGTTGTTCAAACAGACAAGTAGACGCCCAGCTGCCCACGCACACTCCCAGCTGCCTTATCACAGGGTGTGGTAGGTCTAGGCTAGTGTGCGTCCAGGCTGAATCTTCCAGAGTGGATGCCTGTGATTCGAGAGGCAGAGTGAAACCCATATGTTTACAGCGCAATTAGCAAAGAATTGAGTGCATGAGTGGAGCTGGAATTAGATATGACGCTCAGGTGCACTGACAGATATCCGAGACTCTTAGCAAACGTATCACCTGCGAACATATTCATTTTTGCCCTTTATAACAGTCTTTCCGTCACACATTACACGTGGCAACTTTTTTGCACGAGAAAAGTTACACGTAACTTCAAATGTATGAGTATAATGGCTCCTCGTTACACCCCACAGATTTATAAACGCTTGTTGCATGGTCTATCACATCCATACACTTAGAGTTGCATGCAACTTTGCCTTGTACAGCAAAGTTGCATCGTGTATCATAGCCCATAGCACTTGTATATACACAGGTATGGCTACTCAGGTGGTCGAGTCGTGCTTTTCCCTAGTCACGCCAGTTATGCCAGCTACGAATGGAACGCAGTCTCAAGAGGTGGCACCACGCACACAGGCAGTCACGTTCGTTCCACCTACTACCATTCCAAAAACTTTCTCACGCACGCACACAAACAGACGGCTGCAGAGTACACACACTGGACCCCATACTACAATGCCGCATAAAATACCGGGACACGCCACCACACAACACATGTTATGAACGTACGTATGTATGTATTATACTATGTACGTATATGTACACTAGGGCGCACTCTACTCTTATCAGTCAGTCATTCTCAGACTGAGTGTGCCTGGCTGGTCTCTGTGAATTGAAAATTCTCCTCGGCAGTCTCCCACACCTGTCAGGAGGTCCCACCCAACTTCCTCAGACAACGTGGCATACTGGGTGGGGAGGGATATCCCTAATCTAATAAACTCCGTCCACATGCCACTGGGTTCTATCTATTCCCACAAGAATTGATTCACACACTGAGCATAAGATATCCAGTCATCGAAAATTCTCCATTAATATTTGCTATACTCTACAGAGAATCTGACCTAAAAATCATTTACCTCCTTGAATAACCCTAGCAACCAGGAAAGTCTCCCCTATCTCTAGTACAGAGTTAAGGACTTTCCTTGCAGCCTTTCATGTCGAAATTTGCTGCAGCTGATCCAAAATCAATAAACTTTGAGGAGACTCAATTGCTCCAGCAGACAAGAGTCTGATAGAGTTAGGCCTCACACGGCACAGCGGCACCTAGCCAGTGCCCTACCCCCACACCAAACAGTCCTGCTCCAGTCACACACCATAGAAACCTCGCCTCCGGTGGATACGTGTGTCTCCCCTCACCACCTGCCCACTGCAGCAGGATGGCTTCCAGTGATAGGCTAATTGCTAGAGAGCCCATGATAGGTTTAATTGGTAGAGAGACAAAGGCAGCCCCGTCCAATAGCCAGAGACACAAAGCTATTAGCAATATACTTGGGGAAGACATGGTGTTGCTATTGCAGCTCAGTACTTGGTGCACTGGACTTGGGTTTATCAGTGGGTGGTGCACCAAACCTTAAGGGAGCTACTGCTCGGGAGTGCGATTATGGGGGAACATACATGCACCCAACAAAAAGACAAGTGGGCACTGGACTGGTAGTTATTATGCCTGGGCTCATGTGTAGTCGGCATCAAAACATTTAACAAGCTACTGCACTTAATGTGTGAAGGCAGTTAAATACAGTCAAGCGGAAGTACATACATAGCGACCACAAGTGGGCACTGGACTTGTGGTCACTATTCCTGGGTTTCAGTTTTGTTGATTTTTCCTCTCCAGCCCAAGTAGGGAAACTGGTAATCCTCCTGGAATCACTGTAAATGCACGACGTGTGTGTGTCAACAACAAGGTCTCAAGGCAAAGGCAAAGGCAAACCGAACAATACAATACACCCAAGACAACTCCTTTTTGAAGAGCTGTCCTGGGTGGGACTCAAACCCTGCGTCTAGGTGAGTGCTCTACCAGCTGAGTTACCAGGGCTATTCAGCAGGTAGACTCCCATTACTGTTAGTTCCTTCCCCTCTTCATTGGCCCCCACACCCTCTCCCATGAGGACCAGAGGAGCACCATATGTTATAAGCTTGCAAGCTACTGACACTCTTCCTACATATACATACCTTGTGTGTTAACTAACATGTTGTAACTGTATCGAGTTACGAGGTCTCAGGCTACCCCCCTCCCCCTGTAAATTAGCTGCATTATCAGTAAATATGGAAATGCTGAGTTGGTAGTTTGATTAAAAGGTCGAGGAATGTACATAACAAGCGTCACAATCTAATATAAGAAATGCGACTTATTCGTGCCATAAAAGTAAAAGGCAGAGACCTTTAAACTCTATCTTCCATTTTTGTTCAATCCACCCATAGGCATATATAGGTATGGTTCAAAGGCTGGGGGGCCAAACCGTATCACTACCACGCACCCGCATCTATTTGATAGGCATTCATGTGTGCGCATAAGCTTAGCGGCTGCAATGTTCCCAGCGTGAAACATGGTGAAGTATGGATCTACACATTGGCAAACAACAAGGTGTGGTTCCTACCAATAGGATATAGCATAGCACTGCAATGACAACGACATGCTTTGCATTTCTCTGTACTTTTCCTGGCCCATATAATACATGGCTCCCAAGTTATACCAATTGTGTGGGCAGTTGCAGATTTAGCATGCACCAACCCCCCCACACACGCTAAAGTTCAGTGGAAGGTTAGTTGTCTAAAAAGGTGGTTCTCATGGTGATCCTACCACTAAAGCACTTGGCACTCTATCCCAGGAATCCTCTGTTTACATACACACTCATTCCCTCCATTAATACCAATCAGAGGTCATTCCGACCCAGACTCATCCGCCTCCCACGGGAACGTCTAAATCTCGGAAAAAATACCGTGCAGGAAATTGACGCAGAGACACCAATACATGCGTACATGGGGTTGATGAGTGGTCCTTTGGTTAATGAACGCAGGGAGTAATTGGCAGGCTACTGAGGCTGTGGGTTAGCTGATACTTGGGGGAGAGACTTAGCAGTAATTGGTCCAGGAATTCCACTCACTCATCAGCGTACAATTATTGGACCTGACCCAAGAGTACCTGGTGACGTGCATTCCACGCTAATCAGATTACCAGCGGTGAGTGTACCGTGACATTCACTCCATTGTACAGGTGTGTGACGCATCTGCCCATGTACATTTTATAGCCGGTAGTATGGCCAATATATCAAGTATATAGCTATATGGTCTGTCACACGGGTTTCACTAATGGCTTATCAAGTGTAGTTTGAACCGTGTCTGGAGTAAGATAGAAGTAAGGGAACAGGTTTTCCCCGGGGGATAGCATTCTTGGCCCGTTGCAGGTGCACAATCCGCAATCCGTAGCTAACCTGAAACCCATGACTTTAATAGTCTTGACTGTCAGCTACATGCACAATGTATATATACAGAAACCAAACTCTCTCCTTGTCCCAAACTATCTCCTCTCTCCTTGTCCCATTCTATATGACTGTATGCTCAGTAATGGTTGCTTGATTGAACTAGCTCCTATTATGTATATACATCTCCTCCATTCCCAGTCCTCTCTCACATGGTCGTCGTGACTTCTAATTGTATTGCACAGATATAGTTTAATAGTTCGGTTCCTCTGGGCATCCAGCACTTACTCAATTAGCTTTGTTAGCAGTGGTCCGTTCTGCCAGATCAGCTGAATGACACCACAAGTGGGGCCCATTACCTCCCCCTCCATATATGCACACGACCACTTCAACTGAAACGCAGGCCGGTGCGAACGCAGGCGCATATCCTCCTGAAAGAATTGATTCACTTCCCTTTGGCAGTGCACCAAACCTTTAATTAAAGGAGCTAACTGCGAGAGAGCCCGCGTATGGGAGCACCCAGCAGCTAGCTGATTGAGAGAATTGGTCATCACTAGAAACAACCAACAGTGCAAAAGAGCACGAAGCAAGGGCTGACTGCCTCATGTACAAGATACAATGCATACAAGGCATGCAAAAATGAGGCCCGAGGATAATGCAGTATATAGCTTCTTTACTACCATCTCTGAATCTCGAGGGAACTTAGCAACCATACTCATAAGAAGGCTTATTGCGTTGACTACTAGACATTTATTGTCTACTGCTGATAACATGCACACGCAGTCTCACTGAACCATACACATGTGTGGCTAAATTGTTTCACTTATGAATAATTGATGGTAAAACAAGACAACTGTCTGCCGCTCATTGGCTAACAACACACACTCTACCACCTACATGTCGGAAACACGCAGGACATGTACACAACATGTACACTCTTACGTCAACATGCATGTATAGCCACACATGCACAAGTATATAGCCACAGATCACAGACCTATCACCCACTCCATCTGCCCAGGTTTGCACAGGCCCGGCTATCTCAGGCCAGGCCTTGGGAGATTCATGGGCCCCAACACCCAAGGGGGGCAGCCTGGCTGCAAGTAAGTGTTATCGTTTTGGACCATAGTGTACACAGCCCAGCTGATGTTATTCACCACTACTTTCCACCCAACTGTGGCCCCATTATAGCTGTAATGTGTGCACCCCTGCTGAACCACCCCCTGTGAAGGACCGTCCTTGTACACTGCTTGGAGTGTGATTTAATTGTGAGTTTCGTGTACAAGGTGCACTCCAGCCTATCTTTGGTGTACGGATCCATTACCTGCTGGGGAAAGTCTAGGCTTAAACTAACACATCAGGGGAGAGTAGTTCTGGGGGTCTGGGGAAGATAGTCAATGCAACAACATGCATGCATGCATGCATGTAGTCGTCTCAGACCCTGTGATTGTTCTGTGAAGATTCATTCGAGGATTCATGGTCCAGTTGAGCTGCAAACTACCGCCAGTTTGTTCTATCATTCACACCCACTCCTGGTGGTGCCACTCAACCAGGATATTATACATAGAGCTTGCACACCGGCACCATGATAGAGGCTATAGTGTGTTTACTTCCTCCTGTGCTTTAGTACCCCCCAGGCCAGGGCATAGGTTTTACTCATACACCACAGTGGTGGTAATAGATACTGATGGGCCACTCAACCAGGATATACATAGAGCTTGCACACTGGCACCATGATACAGGCTATAGTGTTGTTTACTCCTCCTGTGCGTTAGTACCCCCCAGGCCAGGGCATAGGTATTACACATACACACCACAAGTGGTGGTAATAGATACTGATGGGGCACTCTGCCCAAGGCAAGAGAAGCCATAGGCTCATCCCGCTGGTGGGCGGAGGGAGAACTTTGCAACCTGACACCAACCACACAGCCCCCTCTCCCAGCAGCCATGTATACACAGAGAGATAATCTCTCATTCCTGCCACTCCCCTGGACACAGGTTCCACACTACTGCAGGCCACACTAGCCAACAATCACTGCAATTTAACAAAACACTAAGCTAGTCAGCAGCCTGGGGTGGTACACCCAACCACACAGGATTATAATAAAGTACAGTAATCAGACATTGTGTACAAGGAACTGTCTCAGGTGTTCATTATAGTTGTGGGCTCTATTGTGAGTATATGGCTGAGACAGTGCAAATTAAATTAATCCTCAAGCGGTCAGTGTTGCAATCACAGGATGCAATCAGTAGGTAGTAGGCCAGGCCACTGTGACCATTGCAAACTTTGGGAAGAAGGACAAAGAGAGACAGAGGGAGGTAGATAGGGAGGGTGGGAGGAAGGGAGGAAGGGAGAGGAGGAGGTGCCGGGAATGCCCTCTGGACATGCACCTGGCAGTGCCTCGGGCACCAACCCCCCAACAATCAGGAGACCCCTACACCTCATGTCGACCCCTACACCTCATGTCGACATATGCCAATATACGCCTACTGCAGTTGTAGGAGACTCAATAAAATATTGCTATCCAATTATGTATTCTTTCTGAGCGTACACAGGTGTCTTGTGCTTACCCATGCAAGGGCGGTGTGTGTATTAAAGTGTGCGGACAAATTTGTTGTTTTAAGGTGATTAGTGTGGAGTTCGTCTGTAGGAGTGTGTCGCTATGGACTGATGCAAATGGACACTAACAGCTCGGACAGAGTTTGGAACTGCCCAGCTCTGCATCGGGCCAACAGATGTGAACAGTTATCCATTCTTGGACCATTTGGATGCCATTTTTGTATTCTGAATGTTTCACGTCACCCGTTGGGGAATAATAACACTGAGCAAGAGTAGAATTATACCATGTATGATGCTACTAAGTACTACCGTACTTAGTGAAACACTCGCAAGCAGATCCTTCAAAGAATTTGTATCTAGCCTAGCATGTGTATGGATTAGAGATGGCCTCTCTCAGTGTGTCTGTGCCCCAGGGGCATCTGTTAGTTTTCTGTCTATATGCACACCTACACACAGAGCACACAGGTTAGTGCATGTGGATCTCTTACATGCACGTTATCTTGTGGATCCACACACACACACAGACAGACAGCACAAAGGCAGGGATAAAGGGAGAGGGGAGTGTGTAAACATTGATGTAACGTGTGTGTCTAACTGGCAGAGTGGGGGGTCAGTGTATGCATACCCAGCAGGCAAAACACCGGTCCCCATGTTGAACAAACAACACTTCAGCTGAACACATGCTACAAAGCTTCGCAGCAATGGCCAGAAATGCCACACTATAATTTTGCTGTGGCTGAGTCTACGAGTGTCCCGAGTCTCTCCTCTCACTCCCCCCTCTCCCTGCCACCCCACATGGCTACTGGCAGGTCTGGTGGGGCCATAACACACAGCCTTACCAACACAACTCCCACATACACCAACCAACCTTCTCCAGGGCATACACAGACATGCATGTGTGCACACAAACACAAAAGATATGCACTGCAGCTCTATAACACAAACCTCGGTGCTCTATTTCCAAACAAACCCTGTTCCTCCATATTATCATAGGAATCTGCCTGGAATCTGCCTGGAACGCCGCACAACGTGAAGCCCATAGACAACACACACACACACTGCAGAAACTGATGACCTTGGCTGCATGGAGGGTATAAACTTGCCAGCACTTGCAAGAACGAGTGTGTTCTTTAAGGTGAATAAAACACGTGTTCGTGCAACACAGCGAGAGCAAAGCAGCGATAAACACACCAGCTAGGCTATACGGTGGAAACATGCGCACAGTCTCCTGTGTATGTAGTCCAACATGAAAGCCTCTTTCATCGCCTTTTACTTGAGGTAAATGAAAACATGCCCCCCCCCTTCACGACCCCATACCTTACAGTTTGACTAACGCTGCTAGCTAGAGCAACCCCTACTGGATGAAGCCACAGGTGTGGACTGCCGTGCATATGTACATACTGTAGTGTGTGAGCGAGCGACCCAACAAAACACATGATTCAATTCACACATGACATTGCCTGTGAAAATCATGGCAGGGCATAAACTCTGAGAGAGTCTGCTGGTTCAGGTTTGAATTACATACATGCTATAAACTGAAGCAAGGGCCACACTGTACATGTACGTACGTATGTATGTATGATTCCAGAGTGGAGATGGAGAGGGAGGGAGGGGAGAGCAGTAATCGTATTAGTTGCAGTCAATCAATACTCAGACGGACAACATTCTTCCGTCCTACCACCCTTAAAGCCATCCGAATACACAATACCACATAGTACATCTGTATAATTATATTATATTTCTTATTCATAGGGGGAAACTGTACGTTATTCGATGGCACACCCAACAATTAGCTTTAACTAGAATTTCCCCCGCATTGTTCAAGGGATCGAAGGCAAGTCTTTAGATGCAGACTTCAAAGCTCATAAGTGGCACAGAGATGTCCATAACGTGAAAACTTGAAAGACCGTGTGTGCATGGGAACGTGAAAAAAGAACATTCAAAGCAGATGTGCACATGCATACACAAGCACAGGAAACGCACATCCTCATCCAAAAACTTTATCAGTACGCAGCAGTAAATCCAGCCACACCATTTCCTGCTGCTTTGTTGCAACTACAAGACAATGGTGTAACACCTCTAGTCCAAATGGATGCTGTCCACATTTCTTGGCATAGGGCTATCAAAAATTCCACACTCTCTCTCTTTCCGGCCACTGACTACGTAGTGTAGCATGTTTGGATCACTGCTCCCAATATTTGTATGCATTATCTAATTATGGTGACTCGGGCACAATTAATCAATTAGAGAACTGGGGTACAGTGGGTGAGACTACTACGCTGGCTGAGGTTAGACGTGGGGGTAACTGGGGGTGGCTGTGGCAGGCAACCCAAGACAAAACACACACTGAAACGTATCCCTTCGGTTCACCACTCGATGTTTACATACAACGCACGCACACATGCACCATAGTACTGCCAGCAAGTTACCCAGCCCCACACCCGAGACTGCTCTCACGGAATATTTCAGACTTTCTTCCAATTACAGAACGTACCACAGGGTCACGGACACAGCCACTAAGGCTGGGGGTATATACGTATTATACACAGAAATTTATCACCAAATTGAAGGGAGCTACTGCTCTTGTTCCGCGCTCTGTAAAAGGATAGCTACGTACGTATGTATCTATTTCTACATAAAAGGAAGTCGGTGCAAGAGACACTTTTGATTCGTTTCGTAAACAATCGATGAAGCCCCCAATGTACACAATTCAGTGGAAACACCCAGTACATACATAGTACCGAGTATATATGAAACCGAAGCACATGTCAATACGTGTAGTTTGAGTTTAGCTTGTTCCCCTGCAAGTAAACCAGTGAACTGCAATAAAATCTTCTCTATCTCCTTTACAATATCACGCGTCCAGATTATGGGAGCTCCCTGATGTATGATTATATCTATGCTATGCAAAGTGCCATTGAAAGTAAAACCTACATGCCCATCTCTTACTATGTATCCCACCCCAGTGAACCACTGGGAAGGAGCCAGCCCCATACCCAGCCCCTCCAAGTGTTGGCCACACAGGTGTTCACTCGGTTATTCCCTCCACCAAACACAATTGGATCCACGTAAACAAGATTCCCAGCTGTCTTTGTGTCAATTAGCCAATTATTCCCTGGACTCTATTCAGGCCCAATTCTTCCCCGGGAGCCTCCCTCTGGACCACCGAGATGTCGCAGGGTAGGAGTGGCAGGAGATTCTCAGACCAGGTTCATTGTTTGTCCGAGCTGTGGCGAGCAGGGCTGGGTGACCTGCTGCCACCTTTTGGGTGACTGGGAACGCCAGGGCACACCCTGTGGTTCGCTCCTGTCTTCTCACCCTCTGCCCGTGTGCCCAGTGAGCTTAGCTCGGTGGTGGTGGTGGTGTCTAGCCAGGGCTAGCGCCAACACCCGACAAGAAATTACGCTAAATGAGTGTGGGAAATTGAATTACGGATCAAAGTGGAATTGGGTTACACTGGTTTAGGGCAGCTTGAATAATGACAAGCATGCAACTAAACCCCGGGGTGTCACGCTGCGTAAAAATGACGCTATATTGCCAAAGGACGTGCTGAGGCTCAGAGATTTTTTCGTTTCATATACATAATTTGGCTGGCAAATAGGAAGAGTGTCGGCGACAATCGCAAAACTTGGGATTATTGTGTTTGCAAAACGTTTGTAAGTGTACATAATAAACCGAAAGAGAGCATGCAAAGTTGCAAAGCCTTAGAAGTGCAGGGAATAATGATTATGGTTATCTAAGTGCAGGCCATTAGCAGAGGTATGTATGTATTCATAGCCCATCTAATAGTTAAACAACTGATAGCCAGTGGCAAGGCCAATGACCACTACCACCAGCATTGCTTACACATCTCTTTAAAAGCTCTATTAGTCATATTGTTTGTATCACGGCAATGGACACACTTTGACTACAATGCCATTACACTTTAGACTCTTAATGCCTGGTAAATATATTCATGGAGGAGACCTAAGACGCTAAGTGAAACTGATGGCTCTACATGAGAATCAAAAATACCCGCATTAGCTAGACGAGGGATGGCAACCGATTGTTGAAAATGTTTAACAGAGCATACAGCCTGACATCTTGCAAACTGCTATAGCATGTAGCTAAACCTTGCAGTGGGGTGGGCCTAATTCGGGTGTTTTTATTGGTCTGCAGCTAGTAATCCAATACTATCAGAGTGTGGAACAAAACAATGAGATGCACTATCAGATGTGTAGGTAGAACACCCACTGCTTTATTCCCACTGGATTGCAACTCCATCCCTTTCCACAATATTATACATTTATCTTGGACTCCACAAATGTCTTGCAAGTTAGTATGTTCACATTTAGACACAACGAAGCATTCAACACTATTAATTGCAGGGGCTAACCTCTGCGAGCTCAAACCCCAGTGAGGGTGAGGGCAGGCTTGGGTCCATGCTAGGGAGGTCGCCAGACATGGGGAACTGGGTGCCAGTCTGCGGCTCCTGCAGACGGTGGTGGTGAACGTGATGATGACTTCTGCCACACTCTCTCACAGCTTTCACTGAGCTGGGAGATGCAAGTTCAGGTGTTGTGGTCTCCAGCGAAGAATTGTCCTCTTCTTCTTCCTCTTCCTCCTCTGTCTCCATATCTACTTCTGGTTCCAAGTGTCCCTGTCTCCCTGTCCCGTTCAGGATGACGCTGGTTTTTGCTGCAGTGTTATGTGGTCTTCCAGTGGTTGGAGTCACACCGATACCCTGCGAGATGCAACATAGCATAAATATTTCATGCGAGCGAATAAAGCTAGCTACCACTGATGCAGATATCACTCGCTGTGTTTTTCACCAGCAACTTACATTATGTGCGTTGCAGTTATTGTTGGCGTTG